TTTTTGTGAGCTGGTCCGCTCTCATCCATTAGTTTATATTCGTGCTTGAGCTAAACCAAAAAAAAAATCACTTCGTTTGCTGGTTCACCCGCAAAATATCCCTCCTATTTTCACACAGCTATACCCTACCCCCACCCCTCTTATTTTTTACACAGTGCCAATAGCAATGGCAAAAGAATGTGGCTACCGACTAAAAAAACGCAATCGCTGGCTCTAAAAAGGAGATTCTACGTCAAGCATGCAACACTGGAGGCATCAATAAAATCGCAACAGAAAATAAGGCTCGATGAAAGGAGACGCTTTAATCGACTGTGGTACTTGTGAGGAAGAATAAGATTTCGTGGAAAAGTTCTAAAGTGGCGCGCCGTATGCAAATGTAATAATCCTCGCTTGTTGCTAGATCAGCGCTGGAGACTCCAAACGCCGATAAGCTAAGCTGATGGCGTATAACGCTGAATCAATGTCATGAGCTAATTCACCGTTGTACTTGCCACGTAGAGCAAGCTGAAGCGAAAACGACAGACCTTATTGTACCGTGCCAGTTCGGCAATGCGACACATTGGCGTTTTCTGACGACTGTCATCAGACTGTGAATAATTATACACGTATTTCGTTGGTGGTGCTTCTTGCCCTGAAAAAAAGAAGCGAACAGTGTTGATTTCCCGCTCACTGCACTGGGCTACCTAATGATACTACCTGTATCTTAACCCTCAGAATAAGGAGGAATCAAAATGCTACTACATCCATATCACTTGTGAAGTTCCCAACTAATTAAATGATAGTAACAATGAGCAATGAATTGTGCTTTTCTGTAATAGTCTGATCTGTAGAAATTCCGATCCTAACAGGCTTTCTAAGCTGCTAGAACAGCTGCCGTCTTAGAATCCCAGAACAGCCATCCTCCTTTCCTCCTCCCTCTTTGCATTCCCGCCACCCCCTCCTCCCACGATGCAATAAGGTTAACCAACACAAGGCCTCTTTGGAAGAACTCAAGCGCAAAAACCTTCATCTGATCTCAGAGTATCAAAAAC